CTTTCCCTGCGATATGCCGAGACACAAAGTCAACTCACGTTCCGCGGGCCGCGCGAACAGAACAGGTAACTCTCGAAGGAACTCCGGCAAAGTATCCTCTATTAAATTACAGACGACCAGGCGTAAATCTTTTCGCAGAGGCGTGCGAATGAGCGAGTGAGCAAGCGAGTAGACTTGCGTGATGGAAACTTTGTGTTCCCTTTTCCCCTCCCTCTTTCTTTTCTTTCTTTCTTTTCTCTATTATTTTTACATTTTTTTTCTCCTCAAGTTTTCGAGACAGCTTTGTATAATAGACACGAAACCGGATGCATCGTTGCGGATGTTGAGGATCGCGCGCCCTTCCAATCACCGGATGCTCGGATGTTCTTAAAAAGGACTAGAAAGTTTTCCAAACAGGATCAGGTATATTAATTCTGATCTCATCCAGACGTTTCTCGCATTTCTTGCTGTATCTTGCTTCTTTGTCGATAAAAATGTCTTCTGAAAATCGAATAATTAAATTTATATTAAAATTATTTCTCTCTTTATTATTTCCAATAATCTAATAATTTTTTTTAAATCATTCATACCATATCTGACTAAAACCTATATACTTTTATCTCCATAGTAATATGTATAAAATACTCGATGAAAAAATACTCGCTTGGAAGGCATTATCAACAGAAAACTAAAACTCATCCAAAGCAACCTTCCAGTTGGCAAAAAAGAAAAGAAGGGAAGAGGAGGAAGACGAAGGCTGGAGAAGTTGCCGAACTGCAGGATACGTCACGATCAAAGCGAAAGGTAGCCCGCTTTGTAGCCAGGATACGCGAATAGGACAAAGGAGCTATCGCGGCTACGGGAATTACGTATACAGGGTGTCTGGGCGGGAAAGAAACGGCGACATAGCGGAATCTGGAGAGCATAAAATGGGAATTGTTAGGAACTTCACGCTCCACCGCCACAGGCACATTTATCGCTCTTTCTCTGTATCGAGGGGGGGGTCTATCCTTAAGTTTCTCCACCGATTGGCGTGCTTCACGATGCCTCAAAATGGAGACGATTCGTGGAGAGGAAGCGTCGAGCTTCGATCGACATTGTCGTGAACCACTATTTGTGATTTCTCTGTTATTTATTAATTTTTCATCGTCGAGAAGGTTTTTCTCTCAGTGTGTTTCATATATTCCGAAATTTCCTTGCCTGTTGTTCTCGACTGTACAGCAGTATTTCCTTGCAATCCAGTTTCATGAGAATCCAATGAAATTGATTTCCTGTATAACATGATAAAAATTCATTATTTTTACTATCATCGTTGTGATAATAAATATTAATAATATAATGTATATTTTCTTAATATCGATATATGAAAAAGCTTAACAGCTGCTCCAATATTTTTGATTGTTATCGATATTATTAGAATTACGGTAAGAATTTTCATTTCCAACGAACATAATATATCACATGCATTGATTCTGTCTACGCATTGTCTACGTTGCATTTTTTGCACAATACCGGGGATTTTCTTTACCGTGCCGATTCCCTCTCCTTTTTCTCCATCTCCGTTCCACTTTAAATCTGCTGGCGGGGGAAGGACGAAGGGATACACTGTATCGCGAAGGATTCCCTTTGAACCTCCTTTAATAAAATTGAAGTCCGCCCGGAAACGATCTCTCCTCATTAATCTTTTTAACAGAGGGAGACGAGCCGCTACCGCTCGTCAAAGCGTTTATTTCCGTCTTTCGCGTCTATTACTACGATCTGCAAAACACAGAGAGCGAGAGAAAAAAGGGGGACTAAATGGGGAATAAAAAAAGAAAAAAGAAGGAGGAGGAGGAGGAGGAAACAGGGTGCAAAAAGAGAAGGAAAAGACCGCAAAGGAGGAGGGGAGGGGGAAAAATGAAAATCCGCACTTGCTTCGAAGTGCTTTCAACGAAATTAGAATTTCAAAAAGGTCAGGTTAAATTTTCCATCCCCTCCTCACACGGCCACAACCATCGTGTGACCCGCCCCGATTATTAATTCCTTTTTCTACTCTTTTTCGGCCAACGTATTTCCACCCACCTATTCCTCCTATGCCGCCTGTTCCTCTCGTCTTTCTTCTCCCTTATATCCCTCCATTTTTCCTCTTCTTTGTTTCTTCAACATCGATTCGCCCATCGGACTCATCTTTATTCATCGTCATACCAACCGGTCTTCTAGTACACATTGTACATTACTCTGGCGAGCTATTAATTCTCGTTTGACACTCGGAGACCGATGGGCCAGACATCCCTGGCACTTTTTACGGGATTTCCATGATCGATTACCGGCCGCTTGCGCCGAACATATGTATCCTCTCACGGTGTTTTGCCTTTCCCTTCTCGGAATAAGAGAGTCGGCCGGGGTAAACCGATTCCCGTGCACCTCTGGGATTCTGTATGTATGCATACATACATTTACGTGGGTGTATATAGTTTCAATGAGTGCAGCTGTTTGGATAGAACAGATTCTGCATCGTCGTTTGCATATGGACTGTATCGAGGAGAGGGGATACATTTTTCAGACGACTTTCCAGTGGTAGCTAGATGATTCCTCGAAGATTTCCAAGGCTTGATCGATCGTAATAAATCGTCGAAAGTTTTGGTTTTGAAAAGTAACGATAGGCTGATCGATGAACAGGTCCTCCCCTTGCCGCCTAAAATTTAAATTAGCGATTAATTGAAATGAAAAATTAATATGAAAATTAATAAATTAATAAATTATATATGAAAAATTTAATAAAAGATCATATGAGTTTATTATATCGAGAATTATCTTTCCCCCTTGAGATTGTTGTTGTACACAGTTTATACATCCTTCCGTTGTTTCTTCGCTATAATCAATTCGCAATTAGTTGCGATTCTTTTCCCAATCATCCTATCCTCTCGAGTCGTGCACCAATTTTACGCAATTAAATTGTTTAACACAAATTTAATTACGCGACTCGAACGCGTTGGTCCTCGAGAGTATTACGCATCCGCGCGTAGAATTATTACAATTACAATTTCGAGCGAGGAAACTGGAATGGAATTGGAATGTAAAAATAAAATGACGAGAGAGAGAGAGAGAGAGAGAGAGAAAGAGATCATATATCAAACCACAGCGTTCGCTAATCTGTTAATCTAATTTCTCGGCTGGTGGTTGGTGTTCTATGTCGGAGATCAACCAATTTTCTCCATCGCTCTTCCCATATCATCTTCCGAACTCTGTATAGTAAATAAGAAAAGTAGTAAATTACCAACGAGTTTGTGGTTTTCCGTTCCATATGGAATTATATATTTTCTCTCGCTTAATTGGCGAACCATCGAAGAAGATTAGTCAGAATATTGACGAAGTCATAGTTCGAGCATAGAGGGGAGAACCAAGAGATGAAGGGGTGGCTCGATTGAATTTCGCCTCGGTGAGATAATAACGAGCTACCGATAGATTCCATTATACCTTTAAAATTCTGTTCCAACAATGGAACAGACTTTCTCCCATCAGGACCGGTCGAAAATATTCTTCGGGAGAATTGTTCGACCACGTGATCGGAAATTAGCGCCCTTCTGCTTTGCTGAAAAAGAAAATTACACGTTTTTAAAATCACCACTTCCCACTTCTCACGTGTTTTTAATTAGCAATACCAAAAGCCAAGATGTCACGTTTTGTTACAATAACATCTTAATTATCAAGTTTGAATTAATCATAATTAATACGATAGAAAGAAAAGAAGTTTTTAATTCTGTTTCGAATCTGGCGAAATCAGATGAGATAATGGCTGGTTTTAAGTTTTGAAATAATCAAATTCGTGCTCGTTTTATCCAAGGTAAGTAAGTATCTAGATAGTAGTACTTACTTGTGTTAAAGGGCAACACGTAAAATTCCTAGAAACAAGAATTTTTAATTAAATTTAATTAAATTTTCAAATTCTGCCAGGTCGAGCGAATTACCAATCTTCATAAAATTATAATACTTGTATTCTCCAGATTCTGGGTATCGCAGAGAGTATATTTGTTATATGCTTTTTAGTATATCTCCTCTGTGTAATTTATGGAAAAGTTCGCAGTAAGTTTTTGAGCTATCGGTGCAAATTCATATTTTTCGTCTAAAAAAAAAAAAACAACTTCTAATAATATAATGAATGAAAAATAATCGTTTCATTAGTTCAAATGAATTTTTTCTTTTAATAAGATTGCTTTCAATAATAATTTCTATTTGCCAAAGACAAAATTTTTTTCGTTTAAATAAATAAAGTTCAACAAAAGTTTGACAAAAAAAAAAGAATGAGAGATATTGATTCATCATTGTGCCAATAGTGCAAATAGTTAACGGTATAAAAAAAAAAATTGTTCTCTTTTGAGGTTATATGTCGATTGTTGACATGCAGATTCACAACCTGTTCGACACCATAGAATACGTAAGTACATATATTCGTCAAATTGTTTGTATTTCATATTTTTCTTTTTTTTTTTTATAAACCTTTCAATTGGATGATCGATCCTGTATACCAAACCTATATAACCTCGTAATTCGAACGGTTGTCCGCGTCCTTTCGACGCTTTTATGGCACACTCGGGAGTCAGAAAATTATTACAATTAGTGAGTGCAAAACGGGTCACACGTTACAATACGGCCTGTGTGGACGGGGTGAAACAAAACGCGTGTTAGAGTCATGGCAGCGCCGATTTCGCCGATTTAATGACGTTATACGTAGATTTAGTAACGGACTGGACACGTGACAGCTGCATTAAATTTTCGCATTAATTCGCTCGCTCCCATGAATAACCTTCCTCCTCACTCTTTCCGACTGCATCTCTGAATTAAATGTTCCGAAATCGATGGAGAAGAATCGTGATTTTTTTTTCCTCTCGCATTTGCGCGCTTTTGTTTCCATTCGGTTTTTGTCTATTCGCGTTACGCTTCAAATTTATCATTGTTGATTCGGTTCATCTTTTCAGAGTTCTGTGAATAATATCAGACGAGGATATTGACAAAAATTGGATAATTCTGTTCTTTTTCCTTCTCTTTTTCCATCTCCTCTACTCATATTTCCCAGACAATTTTATCTTTTTTTTCAATTTACAACAAATTGAAAAAAACCAACGATATAGTTATTTTTGGCGTTCAAAATGGCGTTCAAGTTGAATAGAAGAACAGATAACAATATGTTCGACTGTTAATTTGTTGATGATTATAGATAATTACAATGAAAAATTGATTGAGTAATATAATATAAAGTTTATAACTGTTTTCTGAATCGATGTTTATCATTGACTTCCGCATTAATTTTTTATTCAAATATCAGCAGCAGTTCTTCGAGAGAGCGAGATATAAAACGATTCCCACGAGAATGATTTGTATGCGATCGTAATCGATCATAATCAAACTGAACTGTTGAGACTTTCGCGACATCCAGAAATATTTATTCCTATTTTATTAATACGTTTAAAAGAGATTAAAATAAAAAAGGAAAATAAAAAATAGAAAGAAAGTAAGAGAATGAATATTTATTTTGATTAATTATAACTAAAAATCTTATGATTTCTTTATGCATAAAGAATCAATGAAAAATCTAGCACAACATTTTATCGATGCTTTATCAAAGATGCTTCTAGCTATAGAACAATTGAATATTCAACAATAATTTATCTTGGAAATTGTTATATACTTATCTTATTATCGATTGATTATTCGCTTTTTATTGTTTATTAAAATATTTCAAATATGATTCTGGAAGACGATCTTCTATGATTAAAACGTCAGATTTTTCTTCATACTATAAAGTTTTTACAAAAAGGATAATTCTGTTTAGCCATATTGTGGAACATTTTAAAAGAAGGAATTGACAATATATTTTGTCACTTCGTCCAAGAAAAAGAGGTTATGTTGATTTGACGAATTCCATTCTTGAGGCGGCAATTCGTACAACGAACATTTACCTAGTGTCGTATAGATACGGGAACAGTCGTTACCCTTGTCCCGGAAGTGTCTTAAGCTTACAGATGCCCGAATATACTGACGTCGCCAACAAAGCTTTGTCAGGATCGGAATTGGCGTCAGGACGATAATTTTCCTTCTGTTACATTCTGTACCATGTCTCGGTGTACGTTCTACTATTGTCAAATTATTGTCGCTTGATAAACTTGTCGCCAGATGACAGAATAGTCGTCATAGTATCAAAGAAGTGCAAATTGTTAGATAAAATTTTATCGAATTGTGTAAATATAAGATTTATTTTTGTTTGAGAATGAAAATGAATCAACTTGTTTAATAACATATTTATTATAAACGAAATACATTTACTTAAGTTGTGATGCTGAAAACTATCATAGAATTACTTTAATGAAATATTTATTTTATTGGAAGACGCAAGTAGACGTTTAAAACAAAAATTAAAAATATATTTAATAAAGACAAAGAATATTTCAATTAAAAGAACATAAGAACATTATATAGAAAAAAATCATGTATTTTTATGATATTAATGATAAAAAATAAATTCCTTATCATCTCAATTTGCTTAATTTAAGATGTTATAATATTTAATAAAAAAAAATTATATTAAATATTTTAAATCTATATCATTGATCTATTTGTGTTGCATATCTTGTCTAGTAAAATTATTTTTGTCAAGTATTATTCAAATTTAATAATAAAAACTGTCAATAAAGAAAAAATAAACAGAAAATAATCAAAGTTATTGAATGATCTTTGTGCAATTTATTTTTCTGTAATTTATTCCGCAGTAAAGTGCAATAATAATTGGCGTACGTATCGAATGGATAAATACATATATACATATATATAATGGTTAACCTATATTTTGATGAGAGTAAGAGAAAGAGAAACAAAGAAAATTTTCTTTCCACATTTGCTTAAAGTGTCCTGCATTATGAATACATAAACGTCATATGGTTTGATATAAATATATTAGAGTTAGACAATAACTGATTGACGATATAATTTCTTATTATATATGCGTTTGATACTATTGTTCTATTTATGTAACTATACAAATATGTTCATCAAAATGTAATTGGAATAAATTTCATTATATATAAACATATTATTTTTGTTTTTCATAAGAGATAGATATGAAATTTAAACATAATAGTTTAAGGATAATTGAAAAAATCTTTCTGTTATTAATGAATAATCATCGTAAATGGTTTTAATAAGAGGAATTTTTTTGTAGAAAAGAGTTGATGCTAGTAGTGAAAACGATCACTAGTAAGACTTGTCTACATGTGCAGTCTGCCGCGGTAAAAGCCGGTGACCTAAATGTCGCCTTTATGCCAGGGGCGTATCTGTCATACGCGCAGGTGCACCCTATCCCATGACCACCCCCAGGATATTAGCAGTACTGCTCTCGACAATTTCTTCTTCATTCTCTTGCTTCTATTCTCTACTTCGTCCCCTTCTTTTTTCCATTTTCTGTTTCTATTTTTATATACTTTTAATCTTTGTTACTAAAATAAAAGATTATCAAGTTGTTTATCATTCTATCTATCCGTCGATCTATCCGTCCATTTAAACTTATCTAATCATTTATCTAGACATGACTATATTTTTTTTATTTTCATTTCGATGTCCTTCAGTTTTTGTTCTACATTTTTGTACATCCTCTTGTTTCTCTTTCCCGTTTTGTTTTTATTCTTGTTTTAATTTTTATTTTTCTTTCTTTATCTCCATACTATCCTCTTTTATTCTACCTTATTCATGTGCTTCTCTTTGTATGAAATTCTTCACTTGAAAAATTTACGGTGCTACAAATCATTATTCGCTCGAAAAGAAAATGTGAAAGAATTAGACCGCTTAAAAATGATTCCAGGTGTCACTTGATTTCCTCTTACCTCTTCTCACCATTCATATTACCATTACGCCATAGATAAGTGCATTCGTTGAAAGAAGTTGTTCGAGAAAAATTAATTATTTTATTATTCTTCACTATGGATTATCTGGCCTATTATCTCATATTTCAATATTTAGCTGTAATGAAGAGTATTGTGATAAGATTCGACGGTTAAATCGCTATAGATTTTCGCAAACAGAAATTTGATGTTGCTAGCCAAATCGAACAGTTACCTTCTCTCGTATAACAACGAGCTTTTGTTCGCCTACAAGCTCTTGGTTAACTTCAGCAACCATGTACTATGTATCTGCGTGTATGCGCAAGCGGGCATTCTGTCGGATTCATAAAATAGGAGATTATTTCGTGTTTCTGAATTCTCTCGTTTGCATTCATTGAGATGGATACATGTAATATAACAATTTTATTTCTTTCTCTATGTCTTCCACATTCTTTTTCTCTCTTTCGATTATTTTCATCTTTTACGTTATCTAAAAATAAAAAGAATGAATAGCAAAATAATATATTTAATTTATGAATTCAGTATGTAGTATATAATTTAATTTATAATTTTTATTTCAAGTTTCATTTGAAATATCAAACAGATTTTATATAAATATTGTATAAATTCAAGTTCACTACGTTGATCATGAAAATTAATTCGCCTGTGTATTTTTTATTGTGCAATTTTTTTATACAGAATATATATAACATTTCTTAATTGTTTTGAGAGTTGTAAAATAAAAACTCGGATCTACGATAGTTTGTATGTACGTTCATAAACGCACGATATTTTTTTGATAGGATAATTTTGAGTGCAGCAGGAAAATGTAGCAGGATAGTTAATAGAATAATCCGAGCTCAAAAATTAGCAGAACGTAAAAATAAATGTGTACGAGATACACAAATCTCCACTTGAAACAGGGAAAAAATATTCGTGACATAAAATGTGCGCGGTGGATTCAGCGAAAAATACGAGGAAGTTGAAAATATAATATTGTTAACGATAAATCAACCGAGTGAAGTTGGCCGTGTATTGATCGAATGATATTTGAAACGCAACTTTTTAAAAGCAATGGACGTGAATCGTATGGCTGTTTCAAAGTAATAACGCCAAGTGAAAAGTTAATCAACTGCTGCTTGCTTGCCTCCTTCTAACTGTTCTCCTTCTTTTTCGCCTCTTATTCTGCCCCTTCTAAATCTCTTATCAGTCCATCTCTGTCTATGCTTCGTTCCCCGTTCCTCTTGTCTGAGCTCACCTGCTGCATATTTCAGTTGTTCTCAAGACGTTTAAGGAGCACCAATGTTTCAAGATTTTTTTTCAAGATTCTCAAACATTCTCCAATCTAGACAATATATTCAAAGCGATTCGAATTTTTCCATAGTTAAATTGTTGAAAATCTTATCAGAGATGAAACTGAAAACCCTTCGTATTCCATCATTTTCATTATCTCTTGTTCTTTTTTACTCTTCTATTTTCTATCTTCTATAATATTGCATTAATGATTGTTCCTCAAATAAATGAAAATTTAAAATTATCGGGCAACGATCTCTGGTTAACGACAGGTCGTCGTTCTCGTTTCAATTATCTGCATCACTGAAATCCAAAATAAGTATTATTGATCCACGGTATTCGCGAATCCAGTTTCTAATATTCATGTGCAGTTAGCTAAAATTACACATTCCCTTCTTCTGTAAAATAACGAGAAGTATTGACTTCAGTCGGTAAAAGAGACACGTAGCTTGAGGGCACGCGTGTACTATGCATTCTATCTGGTTGAACGTGCAATACATAGTATAGCCACAACCTGGCGAGTCCATTAGTCATGTTCTTGATTATGAGGGATGGTCTAGAAATTTTTCATCCGCGAACGGTCTCGCTTTGTCAACCTCTTTATAGCCGAGATAATGTCTTGCGCGTACCTTCTTGGATTGGCTAATTTCCCTTTTTCCTAAGAATACTTTGTCGCTGCTTTTCGCATTTACCAAGTGTGTCATTTTTGTAGGTTATAAGACAAAAGAAATATGTAGATCTTATGATTCTCTAGGCAAGAAAACACATTGAAACGGATGAATTGAACAAAATTCAAGTTAGTATAAATATATATTATTGAACGTTGGATATGTGAATCTTGATATGTTTAATAAAAAAAAAAAAATAATCTCGATTAATCATATTTCGGACATTTTTATCGATCGATGTAGAATTTCGATTGTTTAAACGATATATCGATAAATATTAGAAATACATTTGGTGCAATAAACGATGACATGATATGTAGTGCATTGTTATGTGCTGTCGCTAGCGAATTTCGCCAGTGATGTTCCGTGATTGCGCATCGATTTTTCGAGAGAGGTTTATTTGAAGAGCGACAGGGGCGATTGTAAATTTCGATAGGACCCGAGTCAACTTCCTGATAAACAAACAGTTCCATCGAATAAATGCACGATTCGCGTATTAATCCTGTTCCTGTGACTAGTGCATTACAGTTTTGTTGAGTTAAAGCTTTACGTAAAATAGTGAAATTTAATGGTAGGACAGTTTTATCGAAAATATTTTGTGTTAAAATTCTGATTATTGCAAAATAAGATCAAATACTGAAGTAATAAATAAATTTTATCGTTTGTTTTTTACAGTGATTATAAAAAATTAACAGAAATTGTATGGAGATTATTTTTATCTCAACGGAAGCCATTTTGCCGTCGATTTTTTTTTTATTTGATTTCACTAATAATAGTCGAAGAATAGAAGTAAAAAAACTGTATAGGAACGAGCAATTAAGCAGGAACCTGAACCATTTCGTTCGTAATTAATTTATTCTGGTTGAGCGGGAATTAACTGCTGTTTTTTATGCGTCACTTTTTGACGTCAGTTTTCATTCGCCATAGAAACAGGGCATGATTAACATTTCTTATTTTTTTGTGTGCACATGCACTGAAATATATACACAGCAAGTATAAATTTTTACCTTTGTACCGGTGACTCTCAGCGTTCCTCAATTTGTCAAGTTTAGCTACAAAATTTTCAGAAAGAACACTCGAAAAAAATGAAAGAGCAACGCACTTATATACACATTCGCGTGCAAAACTTGGAAGCTGAAAATTGTTCCATCCTGATTAAAATGTTTCTCTTTTTTTGCTTTTTTTTTCTTCTTTTCTTTTCTTTTCTTTTTTTTTTCTTTGTCCCAACACAAACATACATATATATGTCCGTATATATATATATGTTGGTTCGAATATGAAAAAGTCACTGGAATTTTGCATTGCGAATATATGTTTCTAATAGTAGATTAAAAATTCTAAGATAAAATTTAAAATATTGATTTCTCATCGTTCTATTATACTTTTATCGTTTTTCCAGCACAATCAATTCGCTATTCTGATATACTTCTTCGAAGTTGGGAATTTGTGGTGGTACTTTGATTATCGTATAAAAAAAAAAAAGAACGAAGCTATAGTCTACTGTTGTCGATGACACCCACACTCATCTACTTAACTATATCTACCTAGGTCTTCACGATCC